AGCCAAATTCTGGTCTACCATCACTTTGGAGTAACCATTCCGTTGAAGGTCATTTTTGATGATGCCTAGTTCCTTCACGAGATCTTCTTTTGTATTACAGAGCCCAAAAGCACGGTCTACCAGAGTCTTTATGATTCCTCTCTTAGTCGATTGACGGTGGTTGGATTCGTGGTTCAGATACTGTCCCGTGTGAGTGAGTTTTCGGTATACAGATGTTTTCCATTTATTGTCGGTCCTCTTCACCAATACGTCTAAGTATAGCAATTCGTTGTGGACTTCATTCTTCATTGTGAAAGTGATGCAAGGAGGTTGTTGATGTGTTTCAGGAAGGTGCCTACTTCTGCATTCAATTTATATCATATTAGACAATTTAGACAATGGAAATCCGAACTAATGAAATGCATTGTAATATTTGTCAGCAATTCATAATGACTAGTGTATTGGTTTCGTTCAGTCACCCAACTCACATCATCCCAAAAGTTCCGAAAATAGAAAAAGGAATAAAAAGCTGCAAATCAGTATCGGTGGTAACCGATAAGCAAATTCACGGGATTGTGTAGTGAACACTTTAATACATGCATCTAAAATACTGCCATGCTTTAATATATGTAATAGCACTTATCTAGCCTATTGTATGCCAAATACTCATAAAAATTATCATGATCAAGTGGGTTTTTCTACAAACAGAATAATTAAAAGTGTAACTGTACATGAAATATATTTATGAAAAACTATTACTGGGGGTGTTTATCAACGCAAAGGCGCATCGCAATTAACTTTAAAATGTTCGTCTGTTTATAATAATAATAAGGTACGGGTTTCACTACTGTATTGTGGTAAACTTCACTCAAGATTCAGGCTTCGATTTATTGTATTGGTTTCATATATAAAAGAGTTGTCAATTTTAAAAATCACGTCAAATATTTGTTGTTTGATACATAGTTCACGTTTGTAAATATCATTCGAAAGTTATTTTCTCATTGCGAATATAGAACCTTCTATTCTATATTATGTACACACTTTAAGTTTACTAGAGTGACCCGACACCTGTACTGAAAATATTATGGTTTCATAAAATCCTATTAATCTCTTTATAGTAGTTTCCGAGAAACCTACAAAATGTCAGGAAAGAAGCTAAGAATTTGAATTTCTAATGCGGTCGACATGTTTACTTTTGTGTGTTTTCTTGTCTAGCCTAATCCTGGAGTAAATTTCGAGTTGATGTCTTGGATGATGAATTGATAATAAATGGTAGCAATGAAATGAAAAATTTGTACTTCAGTTAATTCACCAACTTGCAATATTTTGAGAAAAAATAGTTATTTTCACTGAGTGAAAATACGTACTGTGTACAACATATTTGAATCCGGATTATACTGACTATTGCTTTTCGAAAACCATAACTGATTATTAATCAAAATTTCATAGTTTCCAATATTTCAAAGTTTTGTATATAAACTAACCCCTCAGTCAACCCCTCAAGGTAGTGTTTTCTAAACTTGTTTTCTATGATTTTAATTTTTTTCAGATTGTGAAAGTTCTCCACGACCTCCCAAAAACTTCAAAGGATAATGCTTCAAAAATCTAACAAAAAACTTTAATTTTTCGATAGAAGAATCAGATGAAAAGATAGGCATTGCGTTTCAGTCATTTCAACCGAAGAAATCTAAATCCCATTTTTATATGAAAATTTGACTTGGATAAACCATAATCCAAAGAAAACACACTTCATTCTCGAAAATACACTGTCTATATAATATAACGTATAAAACTCAAAATATTGCGACAAATGTGATCCTGCTTAGACTCAAAAAACTATCAACACCCGATATTAAAATACCATCATTAACTCGCAAAGGTTGGTGGTATTAATGAAAGGCTTCGTGTACGTCCACAATTGTTTTGAAGCCTTTTATGTGTTTTCTGTATTCGCATTACGGCCAGCACCAGACTTTTAATAACTGCACTTTTTGCAAAAGAGAACAAAAGATAAATCTGAATGGGATCGTGGTAGAGAAGTACACTTTAACGTTGCGGTTCGTATATAGTATGGGCGGATGAGTAACACTGACTGCTATAAAATGAATCCGATGCCATTTCTCTATAATTCTTTGTTGGTGACATTCACCTCCAAGTTATGTCGGATGAACAAACAATCTTTCACCAATGATGTAAGTATCATCCAGTATTCGCATATAAATTTCATTTAAAATAGATTGCAACAACTTAACAAAAATATTTCTGCAATCTGATCTTATTGAAGTTTACAGCTCTTAAATTTCTTGAAAAGTCAATACTTGTACACTTTTTGTTTCGAACGTTCCCATAAGACAGAAGAGACATGGATCACTATATCGCCCTAAGCATTCACCATAAATTTTCACATTCGATAATTATTGTGTGGAGACTTGTAATTGTACCGTTCCTACAATGCCATCGTATTCAATTTTTAATATTTTTTTAAGTCACAATTAACATTCGAATTTTCTTTTGAAAAAAAAAATTGTTAAGAATATCTGCACCTTTCTGCATTGTTCAGTAACCATCTTCACCTACAAGAAAGAGGCATTTGTTTCAAAAATCTGAAATGTCAAACTGAAAATTCTTCAAGCGTTCATATGTTTTGTATTAACTATTTGCAATAGTTTTTGTATTTTGGAAAACATGGTTTGACTTTCAACTTCTTTATCTTCATAAAAAAGAAGTGGAAATCTTCCAAAAAGAAAGGAAAAAATTAACTTCAAAATAAAATTAGGTCAAAAACATGTGGATCAAACTGGGAGAAAAACATACTACTTTAACTTAATTGTTGAATTTCACGAAAGAAAAAGTTCTTTCAAAACGACTACATTCATATGAACATTGTATTACAAACAAAACTTTTTCCTATTCACTTTGTTATACTCCGAACATTTGTTGTGGAATTGAAACAGATATTATTCATATGAACGATACATAAATAATAAAAGAATTCGCAAAGTTTCGGGTAGAAAATACTTATAGAGTCCCTATGAATAAATAATATTGGTTTCAATTCCATAACGAATGTTTGCGAGTACAGAGAATAAGAAAACGTGATTTTTGTGTAATTCAATTTAGATATGAAAATAGTTATTTCGAAACGATATTTCTTTTGTGTGATTCAATGTTCATGTTGAAGTAGTTTTGTATTTGTGTCTAAAAGAAACTTCTGTACAATATCTACACATTTTTGTAGATGGTTTATTAATGAGTAAATTTATTTCTTTCTTCGTAAATTTCCCTTTTGATACATTTTACTTATTATAGTTTTAAAAACTGATATTAATTAGGGCAGAAGTATTCAGTGCGTTCAAGCATCAGAAAATAACAAAATCTGAGATACTACCCGGCCAGATGTCTATGTATTACGATAACTGTTTTACATCAAAATAATGTATTTATGATTTACTTAATCACTGCATTTATTGAAATTAATATTTTTTATGTAGTTCATANATCTCAGATTTTGTTATTTTCTGATGCTTGTACGCACTGAATACTTCTGCCCTAATCAATATAAGTTTTTGAAACTATAATAAGTGAAATGTATCAATGGCAGATCTCGTCAATTACTTTAAAAAACATTTATTTTTAACATTTTCAAATATGTCTGCCACAATGTTGAACGCGAGGTAATGTTCAGCCATTATTATTTTCCGTTCACAATAATAATATATTTCAAAATATCAAAACGGCAAACGTCGTCAAATGCATTTAAAATTACTAAAAAATTGATACCTGTCCTACCTGCGCACTCACCGCGTCCACCACTTTGTGCTTAGTGAGGTCCCATATCATGTACGGTAGGTATAGGGACCTCAATGTACAAAAACCTAAGTCTGGTCAAATACATACAGGTAGCCGCTCACTGGCTCTTAGACTATAAGTTGTATAACAACACTGAGGCATCATTCCGTACTGTTTTGTTTTATAGTGTAGTTTTAATGCTTGTTTTGATTTGTGTGTGTGTGTGTGTGTGTGTTAGTTAATGAATTTGAAGTTGTGAAGCGATTCAATGGAGAAATACTCGTTTAAAGATAGGTATGTTATTGTAAAAGTACCATGGTGTATACGTCAAAAAGGCGTTAACGAAAAGACGTGTCCTGAGCTGATTCATGTCGTCAACCAATCAGAAAGTGTTTAGTTAGAGTAAACTTCAAAGGGATAACACAGACGTTATAAGTACACCTCGAGTGAAACTTCTTGACACTATCAAGTTGGCACTTCAATTTCTAGTGTTGTTTATATTTTGGAAGAAATTGATATAAAATTATATATTTTTTAATATCTCTACTCCCTACTAATATTATAAATGCGAATGTAAGTTTGTTTGTTACGGTTTCACGGGAAAACTACTCAACCGATCATCATGAAATTTTGTACACATGTTCTTGGAGGTATTAGAAGTAACATAGGATACTTTTTATAAAAAAAATATTTGTTATGTAAGATAAAAAAAATTGTTTGTCAAAAGAATTCTCAAAATCTAAATACTTTAACGCCATCTACCATTTCTAGCATTCCAGTGATGAAGTTCCATCCCTTAGTACCGTAACACCGTCGCACTGTATTATTCACAGTCACTACAATATCTAATCCAATCCCATCCAATCCGAGTGAAGCCGCGGGTAAAAGCTAGTAGTCCATAAATCAAAGACCTGAACAAAATATGCGAAATAGATTTCGATTCTTGCACTATCTATCGTCATGTATTCGTGATCAAAACAAAAGCGAATCGGTAATAACAACAACGTTTCTGTGCATTTTGACTCCAATCATTATCATCTTGCCGACGACATAATTTGCCGTTTGATGAAAAAATGGTAAGTTCTATTCGGAGAAAAAGAATTGTATGTAGCTCGCATGATTGACGGGTCGTCCGTCAACAGTTTACTATTTCATCAACTGTATTCCATTGTATTAGTGGAACATATGCTGTTTCTGTTGAAAGTGGCCCCTAAAAGAATTAATTCACTCACCTGGTGATGTCTTCGGCGCTAACTGCTCTCGGAGTAGAGGGTGGGTGATGTAGCGTTAAATTTGACGAATGTACCGAGTGCATCGAATCTGCGTACCCATGGGATGCTTTAGTTGCTGCAACAAAATTTGATTCTTTAGACGTACGTTCTGCACGTACATTTAATTCACTCAAAGGTTATATCCCAAGTATGTTCTATTAAAATTTGTGCAAATCCATAATTTTCGAAATTTGAGTATATAATAATTTAATGAAATCCTCAGGCCGAGGAATTTCACTCAAAACATCATATATGAAAACATTTTGTGCCACACAGTAAAAAAGTGAAGTGAATTACAACTACAAATTCACTAATCCTTTTGTAAAAATCGATCAATCACACTTTTTGCTGAAATTAACAAAAACAATAAATGGTCCATGTCAACATGTGCAGATTTTGTTAAAATCAACAAAAATGAAATTTTTTGCGACTAGCGAAACATTTTTTAGTTGATTTTCTTTCGAGCATTGTCAAATAAATACAAAAATTTGTGGTTTTCACGAAAAAGTTTGACTTTACTCTCCAGGTAAATTACTATCAATCATTAATTTTGTATAATCGGAAATGAATTTTTGCAACTTTAGCACTTTTTTTCAGATCGATATTCTCAAATAGACAAATATCTTTTGCAGAATCTAAAACTTTAAATTTTGTAGTAACTGTTGAGTTGAAATCAATTAACGCGAACTCTATGTTAAATCAACAAGTTTTTGCTAAATCTGCCAAACACCCTGCTGGTTCAACAACCGCTGTGCTCATTAGAAACATATTTATGATACAATTTTGACAAATTATTTAGTTACAAATGAAATTTGTACCACTTGGTCTACGAATGTAGTCCAGTAAAAAATAAGAAAATACCAAATTTTACTTTTTTAACATCTAATAACTTTTTTTGACAAACAACAACAACCTTTTTCAAACATCAACAAAAAAAACGAAGATAAAGTACTATTGCGCATATTCGTTAAAAGAATCAATAGTTTCAAGAAAATCGCAATTAGTCCGTATATTTTTTGGTAAATCAACATCAAAAAGGAAATATAGTACAAAAGATGAATACAGAAAATGCCTTGTTTTAAATTCGAAGAAAACGAAATAATTATAAATATATCCCGAAATTGAAAGAATGAATCAAATCTATCAGATATTCGATATTCAATCGCCCTGAAACAAATATTTTAAATTGCATGTTTTACTAAAGAAAACATGCATTTACCAAACAATAGTACAATTCCTATATTTTTCAGAAGTTGTCAGAATTGTATTTTTCTGTACGATCCAAATACTCGGATATGACATGAAATATCACAGCAAGAATTATCTTGACATGTGATCTAAGTATAAGACGTCATTTCAACACAATTTTCCTAGTGAATCTTCTAGGTAGCTGTTTTTGGAAATACATTTTCATTCATCAATTCGTATTTCATAATATTTGAAATAACCACTAAGTCATTAATTTCACTATCGAATCTGAATTCAATGAAAAATGTCTAAAATTCTGAGATTTGTCTTTCAACTGACTTTAATCAAATTCTCTGAAGAGCCTTTTTAAGAATACCATAAAATATTATTGTATACATAAGTGAATGAGAAAAGGTATTAGGTATCTAAAAAAACTTTTCGTCGCCTGTAATAAATTCGAAAATTATACAACATAGAAATTTTTCTTGCAATATTACCCACTACCGCATAATCTACAGATATACCATTAAATAGAAAGAACTATCTAGTATACGAACAGAGCAAACAAAGCAAGTAATGAATCAAAAGAACCTTGGAAGGTAATTAATGATCTCAGAGGAAAGAGTAGAAAGCAAAAACTGGACACTTCACTAACTAACTAACTTCACTAACCCACTTTTATTATTTCTACTCAATTGGAGAAAAAGTAATGAAAAATGTTCACATTTTCTATGATATTCCACTGAATAATTCATTTATCTATTCACATAATTATGAATGGACTGACCCGTTTCTTGATGAAAATCAATGACACTATCCAGGATTATAATTACACAATTTTCTCGAACATTTTAATATCTAGAGGCGTTTCGCTAAACTGTAGCTTCCTCGGTAGATTGACATACAAACAATATAATACATCCAGCAGGGCCTAAAACTCTTTCAAATGTGCATATGTGTCTATTCAAATGCATTTATAAATTTTTAATTATGAATAAAACTGAGAATCTCTTTCCTTTGAACTCTCTGAAAGTTAGAAAAAAAAAATATAAAATGGGCACAGCATAATTTGTAAATATAGTTGTGAACGGAAATATGAAATCTACTACAAAATCTAGGAGAAATTTGTGAGACATTGAATGGAATATAAGACAAAAGAAGTTGTACAGTCCATTTCTCCATGTATTATTTGCTACGTGAAACACATATCTCTTTTAACAATTTTTGCTTAAGCTTTCATGTGAAATTTATCTATCAATGAAACACCGGAATACACAGGTATAAATACTATGCTTTCAGGAATACGAATATTTCATAATTTTTTTTTTTAACATTCTGCAAACCATATACAGTGTGTCAATTCTAAAACTTATTCTAAAGCTATATCTCACGAACGAAAGCTGATATCGAAAAATGCTTAAAAACGTTTCTAGGATAGTAAGGGAGAACTGAAGTGACATGAAAGAGAACTCACCCCATCAACCCCCTAGGCCCCACCCACCAAAACTCAAAAAGTTTTAATTGCAAACCACTACTTGTGATACATTATTGAAAAAACTATAAAAAATGTTACCCAATGGCATAAATAATAATTGTACAGGGTGAAGCAATAACTGTAAAAGTTTGGCTTAACAATAATACAGCCTATTGTCAAAGTCTGCACGAACTTTTAATATCAGCCGGCTTACTACGATTTTTTTATTTGTAATGCCACCTACCGTACTATTATTTTAAATGATAAGTGTCCGTCGATACGGTTTCAAGCATTTTTCGATATCAGCTTTCGTTCGTGAAATATAGACCATTGTAAGTTTTAAAATTGACACACTGTATACGTCTCATAGGTATTTGACGGATTCCAAATGACACTACCGTACTCTAATCAGTCTGAAATAAATGGTTTCCGAACAATCCAAGGACTGTAATATAATACAATATAAACTTATCTGAATCGCTTTGTAGCAAAAGTTTATGATAACTAATATAGTCGCAATATCATTGACGAATAGTATAAATATATCATGAAAAATGAGAGATGAAAATTTCTATGTATTTTACCACTTTTATTTGTAACTAAAGGTACTAAGAAACTAAGCTGACCATTACACACAAAATCAGAATAAATTTAAGTTGAATGTATTCAGAAAAACATTACATTACAATCTTTCCATCCCGACAGTCATAAATTAGCAGCCTACAATTCTATGTTGCACAGATCATTCTCGATACCTTTATCTGCTAACAATCTAGATAGAAAAATAAAAATAATTATACAGATAGGACATAATAATAGTTTCGATGCAGACACAATCCAGAAGTTAGAGAAGAAAGCCGTAAATTCACTTACAGATTAATATACTTCCAGATCAAGCAATCACAAATCAAGAAATTTATAACTCTTAACATATTTTGGTAGAAGAACAGACCACATGACAGGTTATCTAATGCCAAAGATAAAGTGGACAAGATGGAGAAATCTGGAGTTTATAAGCTTAAGTGTCCGGAGTGTAATAGTGTTTATGTGGGACAATGTGATAGACATTTCTCAAAACGGCATGCAGAACATGAAAGGTCCTTTGACTAGGTAAAAATGAAGCGACGTTTTCAAACCACAAGTTCTCCAATCTAAACGACATGGAAATTTTGCACTGTGCAAGCAAAGGTTGGGAACTCAATTATTTAGAATCCTTAGAAATTCATAAGCATAAATAAGCATTGCGAGTGTAACCTGTTAAATGATCAAATAGATATCTACTTCACTCACAGGTTTTCAAATTAGCGTACCCACATTGTCCCAGGTAATCAAAATTCAGTTACTTAGTTAAGTAAAGTACCTATGTTATATTACCTAATACAGTGGTGTTATATAAGGGGTTATATTATTATTTATTTGCAGTTTAATGTATAAGTTTGAAAATGTCTTTATAGAACCAAACTGCAGTAACTTTAGTTACAAATAAAAGTGGTAAAAAACATATAAATTTTCATTTCTCATTCATTCTACATCCATCAATTTAATATAAAAATGATGTCCAAGATTTGACCCTTCAGGGAAACGAGAAGTTTCCAAAAAACAAGCGAATTTTATGTCACGAACGTAACTTCATCGATTAGATGAATATTCATTCACATGAGATGTCTAAATTCTTTGTTGAAATATGTGTAGATGACGTCAACTTGATTTTTGTTATCAAGGAAATCAGAAACGTATTCAGTAAAAATACAGATGTTTAGTTGCTGTTGAATGTTGTACACAGTGGGACAAATTGGACTCTTTCAAACTAGCTAGATGAGGTGTCTGAGGGTCAAATTTTATGAAAATCGTATATCTATCATCGTTTCTGAGTTACAGTAACTTTTTTCCTGTCAAAAATTTCTCGTTTCTATGAAAACATTTGCGCAGAATTTTTTTACGTAGAACTCAATGGTATAAAAAACTCATTTTTACATATGAGATATCAATAGTTATTGATGGACAACTTTTTTTTAACGAGACACCTTGTATATTCCTGCGTATTTCAATAGAGTTTAAAATTACCTTTCCAAAAATGTAGCACACTTGATGTTTTGCT